TTTCCTCCGCTTTTAGTTCTTAAAGGAATCTCCACACTGTTTTCCATAGTGGCTGTGCTAATTATATTCCCATCAGCAGTGTAGAAGTGTTCCCTGATCACCATATCCATGCCGACATTGACTGTTTTCTGATTTTGGGGATGTTGAGGATTTTTTCGTATGTTTGTTGGCCATTTATATATCTTCTTTTGAGAATTGTCAGTTAATATCCTTAGCCCACTTTTTGATGGGATTGTTTGTTTTTTTTCTTACTGATTTGTTTGAGTTCATTGTAGATTCTGGATATTAGTCCTTTGTCAGATGTGTAGATAGTGAAGATTTTCTCCCACTCTGAGGGTTGTCTGTTTACTGTGCTGGCTATTCCTTTTGCTGTGCCAAAGCTCTTTAGTTTAATTAGGTCTCAGCTGTTTCTTTGTTTTTATTGCATTTGCTTTTGGGTTCTTGGTCATGAATTCTTGTCTAAGCCAATGTCTAGAAGGGTTTTTCCAATGTTATCTTCTAGAATTTTTATACTTTCAGTTCTTAGGTTTAAGTCTTCAATCCATCTTGAGTTTTGTGTAAAGTGAGAGATGAGAATCCAGTTTCATTCTCCTACATGTGGCCAGCTAATTATCCAGCACCATTTGTTGAAAAGGGTGTCCTTTCCCCATTTTATGTTTTTGTTTGCTTTGTCGAAGATCAGTTGGCTGTAACTATTTGGGTTTATTTATGTATTTTCTCTTCTGTTCCATTGGTCTGTGTCCTAGTTTTATATCAGTACCATGCTGTTTCGGTGACCGTGGTCTTATAGTATAGTTTGAAATCAGGTCATGTGATGCCTCCAGATTTCTTTTTGCTTAGGTTTGCTTTGGCTATGAGGGCCCTTTTTTAGTTCTGTATGAATTTTAGACTTGTTTTTTCTAATTCTGTGAAGAATGATGGTTGGTATTCTGATGGGGATTGCACTGAATTTGTAGCTTGCTTTTGGTGGTGTGGTCATTTTCACAATATAGAGTCCACCCATCCATGAGCATGGTATGTGTTTCCATTTGTTTGTGTCATCTCTGATTTCTTTCAGCAGTATTTTGTAGTTTTCCTTGTAGAGGTCTTTTGACTTCTTGGTTAGATATATTCCTAAGTATTTTATTATTTTTTGCAACTATTGTAAAAGGGGTTGAGCTCTTGATTTGATTCTCCGCTTGGTCACTGTTGGTGTATAGAAGAGCTACTGATTTGTGTACATTAATCTTGTATCTGGAAACTTTGCTGAATTCTTTTATCAGTTCTAGGAGCTTTCTAGACAAGTTCTTAGGGTTTTCAAGGTAAACAATCATATCCTCAGCAAACAGTGACAGTTTGACTTCCTTTTTATGGATTTGGATGCCCTAAATTTATTTCTTTCTCTTGTCTGATTGCTCTGGCTAGGACTTCCAGTACTATGTTGAAGAGGAGTGGTGAGAGTGGGCCTCCTTGTCTTATTCCCATTCTCAGAGGGAATGCTTTTCCCCATTCAGTATTATGTTGGCTGTGGGTTTGTCATAGATGGCTTTTGTTACATTAAGGTGTGTCCCTTGATTGCCAATTTTGCTGAGAGTTTTAATCATAAAGCAATGCTGAATTTTGTCAAATGCTTTTTCTGCATCTATTGAGATGATCATGTGATTTTTGTTTTTAATTCTGTTTATATGGTGTATTACATTTATTGACTTGTGTATGTTAAACCATCCTGCATCCTTGGTATAAAACTTACTTGATCATAGTGGATTATCTTTTTGATATGTTGTTGCATTCAGTTAGCTAGTATTTTGTTAAGGATTTTAGATCTTTGTTCATCAAGGATACCAGTCTGTAGTTTTGTTTTTGGTTATGTCCTTTCCTGGTTTTGGTATGAGGGTGATGCTGGCTTCATAGATTGAATTAGGGAGAGTTCTTCTTTCTCTGTCTTGTGGAATAGTGTTGAAAGGATTGGTACCAATTCTTCTTTGAATGTTTGGTAGAATTCTCCTGTGAATCCATCTGGTCCCTGGACCTTTTTTTGTTGGTAATTTTTTTTTTTTTGGAGATGAAGTCTCACTCTGTTGGCCAGGCTGGAGTGCAGTGGTACAATCTTGGCTCCCTGCAACCTCTGCCTCCCGGGTTCAAGTGATTCTCCTGCCTCAGGCTCCTGAGTAGCTGGGATTACAGGCGCCCACCACTATGCCCAGCTAATTTTTTGTGTTTTTAGTAGAGACAGGATTTCACCGCGTTGGCCAGGCTGGTCTCAAACTCCTGACCTCATGATTTACCTGCCTCGGCCTCCCAAAGTGCTGGGATTACAGGCCTGAGCCACTGGGCCCAGCCTTGTTGGTAATTTTTAAATTACCCTTTCAGTCTTGCTGTGTGTTATTGGTCTGATCAGGGTATCTAATTCTTCCTGATTTAAGCAAAGAAGAATATATATTTCCAGGAATTTATCCATCTCTTCTAGGTTTTCTAGTTCATGTGTGTAAAGGTGTTCATGGTAACCTTGAATGATCTTTTGTATTTCAATGGTGTCAGTTGTAGTATCTCCTTTTTCTTTTCTTAGTGAGATTATTGGGATTCTTCTCTCCTCTTTTCTTGGTTAATCTAGCTAAAGGTCTATCAGTTTTATTTGTCTTTTCAAAGAGCCAGCTTTTTGTTTCATTTATCTTTTGTATTTTTTTGTTTGTTTCAATTTCATTTAGTTCTACTCTGATCTTGGTTATTTTCTTTCTTCCTCTGGGTTTGGGTTTGTTCTTGTTTCTAGTTCCTTGAGGTATGGCCTTAGATTGTTTGTGCTGTTTCAGACTTTTTGATGTTGGGCCTATGAACTTTCCTCTTAGCAACACCTTTGCTGTGTCCCAGATGTTTTAATAGGTTGTGTCGTTTTGTCATTCAATTTGAAGAATTTTAAAATTTCCATCTTGATTTTGTTTTTGACCCAATGCTCATTCGGCAGCAGGTTATTTAATTTCTGTGTATCTGCCTGGTTTTGAAGGTCTCTTTTAGCGTTGATTTCCAGTTTTATTCCACTGGTCTGAGAGAGTGCCTGCTATAATTTCAGTTTTTAGTACTGAAATGTGAGGTACCATTACATTCATTGTACTCTTTGTTGCATATGTCCTTTGTTTTGTTTTTGCTTTGTTATTTATTTATTTAAAGACAGAGTAGCTTGAACGTAGTTTAACAATTGTTGGCCAGGCTGGTCTTGAACTCATAACCTCAGGTGATCTGCCCACCTCAGCCTCCCAAAGTGCTGGGATTATGGGCATGAGCCACCAGACCCGGACCTTGCCCCTACACATTTTTTTAAATTAGTGGGATGTGGTGTCGCGTACCTGTAGTTCCAGCTACTCAGGAGGCTGAGGCAGGAGGAGCACTTTAGCCCAAGAGTTTGAGGCTACAGAGGTATGATAGTGCTGCTGCACTACAGCCTGGGTGACAGAATGAGATCCTGTATCTTCCAAACAAAACACTCTAGAAGTTTTCTGGGTTCTGTTTTGTTTTTTTGCTTAGCTGACTACTCTATACGGTTTGCAATTGTTTTTTAATGAACTGTCAGAAGATTGGAATTTCATTTGTAGAGCTGTTATGCTAACCAAAAGCATAACTATCTTTGTTATACAAAAGTTAATCAAAGCCACAAACAAGGAAATATTTCTTAAAATAGCAACATTGAGCTTGTTAAGTTTTTGTACTAAGTTTTGCATCATTATAATCACAGGTTATAATACTTTTAAGTACTCTTTGGATGATAAAATTCTCCTCCTCTTTCTAAACATGCTTCTTTGGTTGTTCTTATTGGTAAACTATAAGATATAGTATTGCTGGCCGGACACGGTGGCTCACACCTGTAATCCCAGCACTTCGGGAGGCTGAGGCAGGTAGATCGCTTGAGGCCAGTTCAAGATCAGCCTGACCAACATGGCAAAACCCCATCTCTACTAAAAATGCAAAAATTAGCTGAGTGTGGTGGCACGTGCCTATAATCGCAGCTACTAGGGAGGCCGAGGCAGGAGAATTGCTTGAACCTGGGAGGTGGAGGCTGCAGTGAGCCATGATCACGCCACTGTACTCTAGCCTGGGCAGCAGAATGAGACCCTGTCTCAAAAAAATAAATAAATAAAGTTATAGTATTTCTTTTCTGTACATTGTATAGATTTAAGTAATTGGATTCAGAATGAACTAAGCTTGTTAAAAGTTTTACTCTTTTACCTTCCTGAATGCGCCCAATCTCGTCAAAGAAAAGAAAAAAAAAAAAAGTTCTACTCTTTTTACAACTGAATTTTGAAATAAAATGAATTCAGATTTTATTAGCTGTAAAATCCTATTGAATCATTTTTATGGTTTAATCAAATTTAGTGTATTTTGATGTTAGCAAAATCCTATTTTCTTTCTTGTATAGGTTTTCTTCTATCAGTGTATTCTGCTTTTTTTTTTTTTTTTTTTTTTTTTTTTTTGAGACAGAGTCTGGCTCTGCCAACTAGGCTGGAGTGCAATGATACAGTCACAGCTCCCTGCAACTTCGATTTCCTGTGCTCAAGTGATCCTCCCACCTCAACGTCCGGGATAGCTAGGACCACAGGTGCATGCCTCTATACCTGACTAATTTTCTTAGGTTTTTGTAGAGACTGGGTCTCACTGTGTTGCCCAGGCTGGTTTCAAACTCCTGGATTCAGATGATCCTCCCACAGTGTTGAGATTACCAGGCATGAGCCACTGCACCTACCCTGTATTCTGTTCTAATCACTGTGCTGTTAGCTTGCAGAACACAGAGAAGTACGGCATACCTACAGCTTGGAGTCCCTGTGTCACTGCCCGTTTTACGAGGAAGCCATGCGTTTAGTTGAAGAAGGAAAAATTTACTCCAGAGTACTGAGGTACCATTTCAGTTTTGTTTATGTTTATGAAGGATATTAAAGTGTTTGAGTGATATTTATTAAAAATGTTTATGAGAGTAGGGGAAAAGATGTTTTTAGGTCCAAGTAAAGAAAAAATTATTTTTTACATGTTCTGTCAGTATTGAAAAAACATGTTTTATATTAAGGTCCTGAGGTTAAGCCTTGTTTGAATCCAAATTTATAGTAGGCTTGATCTTGAATGGAGTTTAACAATTGTCTCCCCTGTTTATTACATAGAACTGAAATGTTGGAGTGCCTCGGAGACAGTGATTTTCTTGCCAAACTTCACTGTATTCGACAGGCTTTTCAGGTATTTTTTTTTAACATTAAGTGACTTCACCCAGCCACTCATCCTCACCCTCATGCTATAGAGTCCAGTGCAAATAAACAGGACAGCTCTGTGCTCTTGATGATCCCTAATCCTAATGACAAATATAAGGTCTACTGAACTTATTTTTCCTCCCCGCCGCTTACCTTCATTTGTTTCTGTATTGCGTTATCCTCTCCCACGGCTTCCCAGGCCCACCACACTTTGTCAAAACAGGATATTTTGATGCTTCAGGAATGTAAGAATAGCTGCTTAAAATAAAAACCCTCTTATTAATTAATGTGTATTTGAGATTTAATTTGAATAAATTATAAAATTGATTTTCTAAAAAGAAAATAAAATTATATTTGTTTTATTATGTTTGGGGGCTATAGGAAATTTTGAGACTTTGTAATAATATTATGTTGAACAGAATTAAATTCAAATTTAACTCCCTTTAATCTTTTTTTAAGTATAGGTTTTTACAGTTCTTTTTATTTTAGTAAATTAGGACTTTCTCTGTGAGCTGCCTGTTGAAATAGCACCACATGCAATGCATTAACTGTTTTAGGATTATTTGTGCTGTAAAGTTGAATGTCCATTCACATTCATTATAGATCTCTTTTTTCTTTGGGGATGAATTTTTTTTTTCAGGTCATTCTTTCAGAATCAGCCAACAGGATATTCCTCGCTGAGAGTGGAAGGAAAATTTTATCAACTTTAATTGTGAAAGCACGAAAGGTAAACTTGTTCTGTTGGCAGGTTTTTTACCATTTACAAAAGTTGTTTTTGCCATTTGAACTGAAGATTGACATTAAATTTTTGATAGAAGAAAAAGTTTTCGTAGATAGTTGGCAAAGGTTCACTTTTTAAAAATAAATAACCCAAAGGGCATTGAGTTATACTTGGGTTGAACTATGTCTGAAGTCCACACTATTTCAACCAAGTTGTTTCTCATAAGTATTTCCAATTTGCCATAAATTCTGTGAATGTCATGGTGAGAATTATCATTAGCTCTGCTGCTGTAACCATCACTGTAATTATTACTAATGCCTCCTCTTTTTATTCCCTCAATCCTGTTCAGGAAGAGGGTCACAAGAAATAGTGTAGGTCTCAGAAATCTGGAGTACAGATTGAGCTGCCTCATCCTCATGGAGTTGAATGAGGCAGAAGCAATGACAAGACCTTCATTCCGACTGTAAGGATCCACCTTACTTTATGCAAGGTTTGTCCAGATGATGAGAAAACAAAACAGGCCTTTCTTGAGCCACTTGCACACCTAGTTTTCAGACTCAATCCCTTTGAACTTTAATTCTCTCATTTATATAATAGAATTATATTTATATTACCTCATTTCAGAGGAGTTTTAGGATGATTAAATAAATGATAAATGGGAAAGCAACTTTAAAGTGTTAAGTAAATGTAAAGTGCTAAGTATAGGCAAGGTGACACTAACTATTAATACGGGTGATTCCCGTGTCAGTCTTAGGTTGCTTTCTTGGCCTTCTCATGACAGATAACTCAGTAATTTTTTCCAGAAGAAGCAGAACTGGAACAAATGCCTCACATAATATCTGCTATAACCAAGTTTTCATTTTAAGAACTAACCAAAATAGGCATACATATTTGAGTAATAAATAGTTTGCTTATGACATTTTACTAACATTCTTCATCTTGGCTTCTGCAAAATGTGGCAACAGCAAAGTAGTAAACCAGATAAATTTGGCATACCTAAAATGTATTTTAGTCCAGTTACCTAGTAGAATTAAGATCCATCAGACTTACTTGAAGAGTAACTTAACTTTGTGGAATGTTACAAAGTTAAGGGTCAAAATGTGGTTTCTTCTGCAGAATCCAAAGAAGTTTGAAGATGTTTTTGATGAAATGATCTATTTTTTAGAGCAGACTGATCACTGGGGTAGTACTGAAATGGAACTTGCTGCTAGAGGGGTAAGTTCAAATTTTTTGTGATATTTATTTTTATTACTTATTTGCATGCAATTTTATGTGAGTTGAGACTACTGTTTCCTTGTCCTTGTTAAATAAACTAAAGCCAATTGTATGGCTGTAGGACACCTTTTTTTGACAGTCATAAGCCACACTCCTTACACATTGGGACAATAGTTGTAGATTGTTTTCTTAAAAGCCTTTTTTGCTGTTGTTGGCTCCTTGCTTCCTTCCCTCCCGCCTTCCTTCCCTTGTTATCTCCCTTCCTTCTGTCCAAAAGTCAATTGGCAGGGCCCTAGCAGAGCAGGAATGGTGGCCTATGCAAGGACAGTTTTGGGTAGTACAACAGCAGCAGCTCAGTAGGGCTAGGGAATTGGCCGTATACACAGGACTGAACAAATAAGTAAACAGAAAAATCAGAGCCAGATTTTCCCTGTCAGAGAAGGGAGGTATAAAAAGCTGGGACTGGAATTAGAGCTATCAGTGCAAGTTCACAGTTTATAATATAAATATGTAGCTATAGATATAGAAATAAATGTAGGACCGGGAGTGGTGGCTCACGCCTGTGACCCCAGCACTTTTGGAGGCCAAGTTGGGTGGATCACCTGAGGTCAGGAGTTCACGAACAACCTGGCCAACGTGGCGAAACCCTGTCTCTACTGAAAATACAAAAATTAGCCAGGTGTAATGGCTCACGCCTGTAATCCCAACTACTCGGGAGGCTAAGGCATGAGAATCACTTGAACCTGGGAGGTGGAGGTTGCAGTGAGCCAAGATCATACCACTGTACTCCAGCGTGGGTGACAGAATGAGACTCTGTCTCAAAAAAAAAAAAAAAGATGGATGGATAGATATTAGCCAGGCGCAGTGGCTCACACCTGTAATCCCAGCACTTTGGGAGGCCAAGGTAGGCGAATCACAAGGTCAGGAGTTTGAGACCAGCCTGACCAACATGGTGAAATCCCGTCTCTACTAAATACAAAAATTTTCCCGGCATGGTGGCATGTGTTTGTAATCCCAGCTGCTCAGAAGGAGGCAGGAGAATCGCTTGAACAGGGAAGGAGGAGGTTGCAGTGAGCTGAGATCACATCACTGCACTCCAGCCTGGGTGACAGAGTGAGACTCTGTCTCAAAAAATAAAAATAAAAAAAGAATTTAGAACCAGGTGCTGTGGCTCATGCCTGTAATCCCAGCACTTTGGGAAGCCAAGGTGGGCAGGTCACTTGAGGTCGGGAGTTGAAGATCAGCCCGGCCAAAGTGGTGAAACCCTGTCTCTCCTAAAAATACAAAACTTAGTCAAGTATGGTGGTATGTGTCTGTAATCCCAGCTACTTAGAAGGCTGAGGCACGAGAATCACTTGAACCTGGGAGGCAGAGCCTGCAGTGAGCCAAGATCATGCCAATGCACTCCAACCTGGGCTGCAGAGCAAGACTCTGTCTCAGAAGAAAAAAAAATGAGTTTACAAGGAGCTGAAAGGCATTCTAGGCAGAGAAAACAGTGGGTACAAATACATGAAGACATAATCTTTCCTTTCCTAGTGTTCCCTTTTTCAGGAGATGGAATCAGTATCCATTTAGTTCTGCAGGCCAGCAGCCTGAGACTCATCCTTTACCTCTCCCTGGTCCTCACCCCCTTTATCATATTCATCTCTAAGTGTCAGTTTTAACTCCTAAATATCTTTCAGTTTCTTCAACTTTCCTCTCTTCCCGTAACCCCTCTTGTCCTAAGCACCTGTTGTCTTCTCTCTGGGCTACAGCAGTAGCCTTTCTATTTCCTTATTCTCTGCACACTCCTTTCCTCCCTGCATTCACTCTTTCCCCTCTCTGTTTCATTCTCCACATTTCTGCCAAAATAATAGAGCACAGTATACTTTTTCCTTTATTGTGCTTCTCATAGTTCATAACTGGATATTTGCAGGATTATTTTGTTGCTGTTTTCCCCACTATACTCTAGGCATCTAATTTGCTTACTCTAGAAGTCTGACCACCTGGTACAGCATGTAGTATGCAGAGTGTGTAAGTATAAATGAATGAAAGAGCAAGATGTTTATGATCTGGTGGGGAAGGCAGCACACATACCAGTAACTAAATAACAAAGTAGAATGAGCATCCTGGATGTTATATAGAACCATGAACAAAGGACTCCTAGAATAGAGAGGAGGAAAGATTTTCACTTGAGATCTAGGAAGGAGCAGCGATAACGTGAATCATAATTTCTGGTGGTGAGCTTTCATATTTATCTCTTATTTTTTATTTTTGAATAAGCTGATTAAAATTAAAAAAAAAACTCTGCTGTTATAAAACTATAAAGCCCTGGCTCAGATTTGATTTCAGCTCCATGTAATAATAATTTTTGTTTCAACTCATAATTTAATACAGGTGAAAAATCTAAATTTTTATGATGTTGTTCTGGATTTTATATTAATGGATTCCTTTGAAGATTTGGAAAACCCACCCACATCCATACAGAATGTAGTAAATAATCGATGGCTAAACTCATCCTTCAAAGAAACAGTAAGTGGTGGTTTACCTTTCTCAGCCTTTTAAGTTTGATCAAAAAGTGGTCGGCCAGGCACAGTGGCTCATGCCTGTAATCCCAACACTTTGGGAGGTTGAGGCAGGTGGATCATTTTGAGGTCAGGAGTTTGAGACCAGCCTGGCCAAATGGTGAAACCTGTCTCTTCTAAAAATATAAAAATTAGCATGGTGGTGGGCACCTATAATCCCTGCTATTCAGGAGGCTGAGGTGTGTTAATTGCTTGAACCCAGGAGACGGAGGTTGCAGTGAGCTGAAATCGTGCAGCTATACTCCAACCTGGACAAGAGCGAAACTCCATCTCCAAAAAAAAACAGAAAAGTCAAAACTGGGGAGATTAATAAGATTTACGTATATATCTATCTGTCTGTGGAATAATTTACAGAAACTGAACTCATCCTTTGATATCGGCTTAGGCATATACAGTGTAACATCTTCAGATGAAATTCTCTTTAGTTTCTGTTGTTTTTTTTTTTCTCTAATCTGTTTGACACTGGTTTTTGTTGGGCTTTAAGTGTGTACCTGGAAGCAAAATAGGGTGGATACCATGTTTTATGATGCAATGTGGATACCTTTAAAAAAAGGTTCCAGTTGGCAATTTCACAATTATTTTGGAACTTAATTGAGGAAAAATGAATGTATTTTAAATTAATTTGTTTAATATCAGTAAGTTCCAAAATAATATATATTTTAATAATAAAAGGTACATGTTCTTCATTTCTGTAACTGATCTGTTAAAGTGACCTTGATCAAAGCTGGGTCAGAGCAGGGTCAGATTTTTCTTTTTCTTTCTTTTTTTTTTTTTCTTTCTGGAATCACCTCCAAGAGTCAGATATCTTCAGGATCCACTGGGTGCTTTTGTCCCATCATGATTGTATTTCTTAGTTCTTTATTTGGATCAAACTGTTAACTATTCACAAATATTCCAATAGTACTATTCTTGAGAAAAAAATTACTTTAGGCCAGGTGCAGTGGCTCACACCTGTAATCCCAGCACTTTGGAAGGCCCAAGTGGGTGAATTGCTTGAGCTCAGGAGTTCGAGACCAGCCTGGGCAACATGGAGACACCTTGTCTGTACAGTAAAATACAAAAACTAGCCAGGTGCAGTGGTGTGTGCCTGTAGTCCCAGTTACTCAGGAGGCTGAGGTGAGAGGTTCACTTGAGCCTTGGAGGTAGAGGTTGTAGTATGCCGAGATGCTCCTTTGCACTTCAGCCTGGGCAAGGGGGGTGAACCTGTCTCAAAAAA